ATAGATAGATATTATAACAACTTTCTGTTTAAAAAGTCCCAGAATTTAGGTTTAGCTTAAACAACTAATCTTTGAATGGCAGACAACAGAATTTAAAATATTAGTCCAATTACAGATCATTTTAAACTACAGTAGAAATATTTTGGTTTTCAACTTGCACTGTATAATGTTGTTCTCTAGCAGTGATTCCTCAAGCCAGTATTCTGACTGGATTGCTGATGCTGGAATTAATTTACAACCTCCCGTAAGAATGTCTCGACGTAAAACTATTAGATATTGTAGTTCTTCTGAAGATGAAATATCGATAGAAAAAATTTCTCCACCCAAAAGAAGGAGGAAAAGACGGAAAAAATATAAACCGAAAAAACATGAGGTATTGAATTTTATATATACTTTTATATACTTTTAAAAGTAAAACTGTACTTTTAGGGATACAGTTAATTGAGATTTGACTTTTTTCACTATTTAGTCAACTCTTAATATCTTAAATTGTTCTCAGCTTAACTAGTGAATAAATAACTCTGCAGAAAGTATTTATTGCAACTAATCTGAGGGTATTAATCCATACAGACAAACAGTATACATCTGCAAATGAAATGCCTTTAAACAATTAACTTAGGGAATTTAAATAGCTAATAATTATATATCTTCATGCATTCAAAATATTCCAGTCATGTTATCTAGGTTTAATTTTTATAGCAGCTACAACTAGTCCTCACTTACTGACCGTAATTGGGCAACTCTGTTGCTAAGTCTTGCAATCATAAAGTGAAACATCACATGACTGTGCCCGACTTATGGCCTCAGTTCTGGCTGTGGTGGTTAAGCGAATCACTGCAGGTTGTTAAGCATGATGTCACATGGCCACAACTTGCGACTTTCTGCTAGCTTCCCCATTGATTTTGCTTATCAGAAGCTGGCTGTGAAGGTCACAAATGGCGATCATGTGACTGCTGGAAGCTGCGACCATTGTAAATGCATGTGTTGCCAACTGCCTGAATCGCAATCACATGGCTGCAGGCATGCTGTGATCACTGCAAGTTTGAGGACCAGTCATAAGTCTCGTAACCTCGATTGCTGAATGGGTGGTCAGTAAGCGAGGACTACTGTACATAAGATTAATCACTATTAGTTTCAATATTATAGATGGGGAGATTGAAGATAAGAAGGGGCTTCCCTAAACCTGTGTAGACTTTATTACAGTTCATGACAGAAGTAATATTTCAGCCAGGAACTTACTGATTCAAACTATTCTGTTATACCAGTGCTGTGAATTTTGTATTTGAAACACACACACACACACACACACACACACGATACATACTGGTGTTGCTATACATATACTAGAGATTGCATTTGGTAGTTAATGTTTCAGCTTGAATTCCTTTATATTTCTTTATCCATATTAGCTAAAACATTCTTATCACAGGCCAATATGTGCATATTTTGCATAAATTACTTAGAGTGTATGTTGTTTTAAGGAAGAACACAATGTGTAAAAACTTATCTCCTGTTATAAATATTATTGCTAAATTTGCACACATTATTAAAATAAAATTTGTAGTTCCAATTCATAGGAGCACTAATTGTGTTAAGTGCCTAATTGTGTCAAGATAGTTTAGATCAAACATTATTTTACTCAATTGATCATTGTAACCTTGGGAAAATTAGCTGTCTTCTGCTATAAATATGCTGTAAATCAACGGCTTATATGCAGTCATGATGCTATTTTGAGTAATTTTTATAACAATGCATAAATAAATGCTTCCCAACAGTCAGCAGACCAAGCATTGTTGTCTGATTTTCATCCTCCTGACTGGATAACTAACATCAGACTCCGAAGATCTCCTTTTGTCCCACAAATGGGTGATGAGGTGAGAAATTGTATTACCTGATATGTTTCTTTTAACGTAGGATAGTTGAACTTGGCTCTGTAACTTGAGTTTGTCCATAAGTGACAAGCTATAGTGTAGTAGTGTACTCTTGTTACCTTATAGAATTTCTTGTGCTTTAAAGCCACAAAAGGGACTGCAAACTGAATTTACAACCATTTTTAAAAATATAAAACTGGGATTGGTTAACTTGTGATTCAAATTTGAATGCAGTCTCTTTTTTTATATGGTAATGAGCTACTGGAAATAAAAAAACTCTCAAGTTGGAATGTAAATGTCAAATGGATCAATTCTAACTCATGGAAATTCCTTTTATATGCTGATCAAAAGTTGGCACTTCATTTATGAACTAAAACTGTGAAAATGCTGATATATACTATAGATAGTAAATGTATTTTAACTACCAGTTGGTGGTCTTCAGTAGCCTAATAACCATTTGTATGTATACATATGGGAGAAGAAGCCATAACTGTCAAATAAAATGAAACAAAATTCAACAGTGGCATCACCCAAAAATTAAATAAAAATGAATAGTTGAAATAGACATTGAGGTACTAGAAGTCTGAAAAATAACAAAACACTGTAAGTTCACTGATTTGGGAATAAAAATCATACCATGTCAAGAGAAAAAACATTATGCAATAAAAATCAGTACATACTGACAATCTTGGGGGGGAAAAGTAAAAGAAAATCTGAATCTGAAATAATTTTAAAATTCTTATAGTAATTTACTAACTCATCTAGGCTACTAAAAGCTCCACTACGAAGTGTGTGCATAAAACAAGAAAAAATGCTTTGTTTTCAGGTCAGAACAAACCAGCTCCATTCAAAATGCTTGACTGGAAAGTTTCACACATCCTGTTTTCTTTTTTTTTCTAATATTACAATTTTATTAGAGTTTGCAGTTACAAAGATAAGATAATACAAACTAAAAATATATAAAAGAATGAAAAAAGGAGATAGAAAGTGCAGAAAATATAAAGAAAAATGGAAAAGAAAGAAAAAATAATATAATTAAAAATATACAAAGAAATTACTTCCCCCTTCATCACATGTACAAGCAGTTTCAATAACTCATCACCTTCTCTAAGAATATAACAAAAGATCTCCCCTTATCTCTTACGTATAAACAAATTCTTAAAGCCTTGTTCAGTCCTAGTCAGCAAAAGTCCGTTAAGGGTTACAAGAAAACAACATATATATTTTCAGCTTAATCAAATAAATCAACTTTATATTCCTTCCCTTTAACACAGTAACTTATCACTTTCTTTAAAAGTACAATAAAAAAAATCTCTTTTTCCAAATCTTTAAAGCCTTGTCATTTGGTCCTAGTCAGCAAAAATCCATTACGGGTTACCAGAAACAACAACATATATATTTTAAACTTGATCAAATAAACCAACTTTATATTCCTTCCCTTTGCTTTTAACAATCTTGATCTTTAATCCCTTTAAATAATGTCCCAGAACTTGATTTCTTTTCATTTTCTTTGTCTCTTCTTAGAAAATCCTTCAAAACTTTAGCAAGTCTCTTTTGTAACTCCAAAATAGGAAAATAATATGAGTTGCTGTTCTGATTTGCTATTTGTGTATCCCTCTTAATCATTAAGACATCAGCCAGTTTCATTTGTATATCCAGTATAACATCTTTTTCTACAACGTTCTTATGACTTGTCATTTTTTAATCCACATTTGAGTCAGCCTCAGTCTCAGTCCTGTCCAGTAAAACTTGTTCCTCTTCTATAACCTCTTTTAAATCCAGTTTACCTATGGTAGCAGACAGTCTTAAGATTAACTTCTGAGTCCACTGTTCCCAAATATTCTTGAATTCATCCAAAATTAAAGTACTTTGCTCCATTCTATATTAGTAAGTCAAATTTAAGGGTTCTCCTTTAATTATACTCTTTAGTTCTTTCTGGTTCCCTCTAGTGTCCAGTCTTCAAAATACCATCTTACCATGTTTTTTTTTCTAAACAACATTTTCCCACAGGAAGATATTTTATAATTAATTTCAAAATTATTTCAAATCCCTCTGGACCCTTAATCTGTTTATAATTTTCTAAAATCAAGATTCTCATCACCCTTTTGCCCTTCCACCTCCCCCAATTTTTTTTTCTAAAGTCCTTAATCTTGCACTTAAAACTTCTTTCTCCATGGATCTACTTCTAGATCTTCTCAGTTGTGGGCTTCAGTAATAGTTCATCTGAAAACCATTTTAGATCCAACAGTTAGGTTTGTCTACATCCATAGAAATTGCAGCAAGACATCAGAAAATGTTTCATTTTTGAGATACGCTGATGGGTATACCTGAATCCTTGCCCTCTTTTTAGATCCTTCTTCTGGCTATCCAGTATGAGTTTCTTCATAACCAACATGAAATCATGTTCTTATTACCACTTGTTTCCTCATAGTAGTTACAGACACAATTCTGTTCAGCTGGTAAGTCCACTGTAAATGGGGACAACTATATTACTGATTAGAGATCTTAAGTTATCAGGTTTTGAACTAAAAAAAAAAAAGATTTTAGTAATCCACAGTATACCCTTACTGCTCCTGCCTCTGAGAAAGCATTGATACCCTAAATTCCCCACTGGCAGAGGAGACTCCTATATATTCTGCCCTCCCTCTAAATTTATGTCTGTCTGTATTAAAAAAAAAATGGGGACTGCAGCTATAAAACGTTACCTGAGAGGCCCTGTCCTGTTTACCATATGTATCTGGGGGCATTAGGAGATGTTGGTGACATCTGCACATTGGGTGAAGCAGGTGAGTCCCTACTGTGTAGGAAAGGCCTGCAAGTAGCTCAGTGTCAAGCAGTATGGGGTTTTATAGATCAAAAATGGTGCTTTGAATTGTAGCTGGAAACCTGTTGGTAACCAGTGCAGTGACCGCAGAACATATATTATGGTGATTTTGATCCACTGATATGTGCACTACTGCATGTTGTACAAGTTCTACAAGTGGAAATTTATACATAGATATATTTAAGCATTTCCTTTCTCACACATACCTATGTATAAATTTAGTTTACCCAGAACACATAAAAGCAGAGTGTCTCTATATAACTTTGTGAATGCTCTTATACAGAAAGTTAAATGCTAGAAGGAAGCACCCCAGAAGGCTTTGAACAAATTGAATATAGCATGGCAAAAATTATTTTATAGTGTTAGAAGTTCCCATTGTAAAGCAATTATAGCATCAGTTTTCTAGATCTGAGCACTGGTTTGGGGGCTCAGGAGCTTCTCTTCTGTTGCTAGCGCCAGTAATGTTGCTAGCAAAATCTTACATGTTGAATGAAGGTGGGATGAGTAAAGTTTGGGAGGGGGGGGTTGGATAAAGAGAATATAATGGTATTCTCTTCATTTGGAGTACATTTGGAGGAGTGTCTATTTTGAAGGCTGATTTCATAAATCATGTCATCATGGATTAGAGAGAGTATGATTCAGAATCTCCCTTCCTCCCTCCCTCCCTCTCTAACTAAAAGTATAGCATCAAATTCCCAGAGTACTTCACAAGTTTTAGAGTACAGAGACCAAGGTTATGGGTGCTCTGAATATTCCCTGTCCCAAGGAATAGGATTTATGCCTTGCCTGCAGTTCTACTTATAAGTACTGAAAAAGTCAGTGTAAACAACTGTACTGTTAGTATCTATTTATTTGTTACTGGACATTGATATCAGAAATTATACAGTTATACAAGTTTTTCAGTTTTCCTACCAGTCATTCAGGAAGGAAGGAAGGCAGGCAGGCAGGCAGGAAGTTATTTTCTCCCCCGCCCATCTCCCCCCAATGGGGGATTCTGGGCGGCTCACACAAAACATTAAAACCATGAATACATATAAATACATAAAACATAAAATTTAAAAACATTACTAAAAAAGAAGAGAGTCCAAGAAGATGAAGGATCTGGGGCTGAAGATAGCAGGCCTCTATGGGGCTACCCATCCCCATGCTTGAAGTATTCTCTCCCCATCCCAGGCCAAGTGGCAGAACCAGGTCTTCAAAGCCCTCTGGAAGGCCAAGAGTGAGGGGGCCAATCTCACCTCCGGAGGCAGAATATTCCAAAGAGCAGGGCCTACTGGAGAGAAAGCCTGCCTTCTGGACCCCGCTAATCTGAGTTCTTTTACTGAGGGGGTCCGAAGCATGCTGTCTCTGTGTGATCGGGTGGGACGAGTTGAAATCATGGGGAAGAGGCGGTCCCTTAGGTAACCTGGTCCCATGCCCTGAAGGGCTTTAAAGGTGATAACCAACACCTTGAATTGGACCTGGAAACAAACTGGTACCCAGTGCAGTTACATGGGCCCTTCTTGGGGCTCCAAAAATAGCCCTCACGGCTTCATTCTGGACCAGCAGTAGCTTCCAGATACTCTTCAAGGGTAGCCCCATGTAGAGCGCATTGCAGTAGTCTATCTG